TTTTTTCTTTTGCGTTCAAAAAGTATTCTCGTAGCTTTGTAAAATTTACGGTTGAACCCCTGATGTCACATGGATTATTTTACCGATGTCCTTGCTATGTTTCTGGGCCTTGATCGTGTAAGGACCCTTGCTGTCTATGGGAGGGTGACATGACATGAGGGTAAGTAAATAATGACAGAATTTTCATTTTTGGGTGAACTATCCCTTTAATTTTAACCTTTAATATTATAGTAATGTGCCAAATGATAGGGCTCCCTGTGTAGTTAACAGCATTGGTTAGGAGAGATTTTTTTCCTTAAGAAAATCAAAATCGGTAACGGCATCGGTATTGCAGATATCATTGTAAGTACTGTAAGGAATTTAACTCATTAATTCTATAAGGGAATTAATCATTCATTTTATTTCTAGCTCAGGTTTTGAAAGGACTCGAAACTGAAAATTCGAAGTCCACCTGATTAGAACTGATTTCAAATTTTAATGGTTTACACCTTATCAACGGTCGTCCAGCGAACCGTTAATGCCCGGGTATCTTAATCTGACTGTGTATTTTCCTTGGCCACAGGATAATACGTTCTTTGATAAGTAAGCTACGAGCTAGGTAACGTAATCTTGGCAATGTTTGACTTTAAAATTATACGACATCAGACAATGATTCTTTATAAAGGAAACATGAATTTATTAGCTATTCTAGATTACATTAAACTAAGCTAAAACACACATACACACACACATATACAGTTCAGAATAAATGAAGGAAATGAGTTAACGGAGTTGCATGAAGTTTTCGTTACATTCATTGGTGGTCACAAGACACCGTGGTTTCTATATGTTGTAGTCCTCATACAAAAGATCTCTGTGGTATCTCTTGATTAGATTAATCCAGACCTCATGATGGCTGATAGGGGCATATCAGTGTCCGTTCATGATAGAAATCCCTACATCATTCTGAATAATTGGCTATCGGTATCGGCAGCAAAAATCAGTATTGGTGCATCAAATAAATAAACCTATATGCTTTCTGTGGTAACATCTAAATGAACTGTTTTCAATTAAGTTAATTAATTGGTTTTGATTTAATTAAAAATAAATATGTTTATGTGAAACCAATTTTATTCTTTTAGAAAATAGAAAAGTGATTTAAACTATATAAATCCGTTGCACAGGATTTTAATCATATCTATGAAATTAGGGCTCCGTGGCATCCCATTCTCTACTAATCAAAACATTACCATCATTTAAAAAAATACAGCAGCATGCAAAACTAATGTAATGACACTTTTTTTAAAACCTAAATGAAATCATCTCAATATTCACAATGCTGCATAATTTTATAGAACCAGCAAAATCATTATGAACATATAGTAAATTCTCAATAAGTCACCCAGTTCTTGTTGCAATAAATCACCATGAAAGAAATGTTTCAGGAACTCACAGTTTGATTTATGATTTACATAATGCTCATGTTCAACAAATTATACTATGGTAGACATTCAATTGTAACAAACTGTTTACCTCAAGAACAACTATTAAAGGTGCAATAGGTGATTGTCTTCAGAAACATTTTTTGTTATGCTGGTTGAAAGTCTCTTCACATCACGATAGCAATCATTAAGTTAAGTGGTCTAAATGTATTTATCTGTATTTATATATTCTGTGGAAGGCGTAGGACCAAGAAGTGTTCGTCCAATCAAAATGCACGGTCCGAGCATTTTAATTGACTTTCCTACCTGCCTATCAACGTATGTATTAGCATACCTCTGCGCACCCGGTTCGCGCAGACAGGATACGTCATCAGCGTGTTCACTCACACTGTGCAGACAGAGCGAGAATGGCAGACAAACATCAACAACCCGATCTTCCTTCCTGGTATTGTAGTACTTTTAATGTTTTCTCACTGGTGAATGACACATGATGTAGCCCAGCGGTTCCCAATTCCTGTCCTCGCGCCCCCCAGCTCTGCATATTTTGCATGTCTTGCTTAGTTAACACACCCGATTCAGATAACCAGCTCGTTAGAAGTGAGCTACGTGCATGAACTGTGTTCCGATCGATATGGTCCCTACACAGTGTTCATTGCTCCCTACTCTCTGAGCAAGGGAAATCCGTTGAAGTTTACTTCACTTTAGAACATTCATTCACGAATTTGCGCTGCGCAGCGTCTTCACACACATCACACTCACACACACGTCTTCACATCCAGTGTGAGGACTGGAATTGGGAACCGATGTTGTATAGCACTTGGTATGAAATCTGGGAAGGTGAAATGCAGCATAGCAGGAACACAACTCAGTTATGTTGTCTTTGCGTCACATGACCGTCTGTCCATGAAAAACTTTTCACAGCAGAGTGCAGCACGACCACCTCCCAAGCGTCGCTGCCCACGCCATCCAGACTCACCCTAGCACTTCATAGGCGCACACTGCAGCTCACCAAGCAACAGAGAGACTACTTTGTAAATGTGTGCAGAGATGCATGTATTAAATGCATATACAACAGGGTGTGTGGCTCAGTATGGATAATATTATCATAGCAGGGTGTTACACAGAAAGAAAAGCATGCAAACACACACACACACACACACACACACACACACCATAACACTCCAGAAGTGGAATCAGTTGAGAAGCAGGTGTCAATGACAAAGCATTAACACCAGTCTACACTTTGCTAAGATCTGTCTCCTTCCAGATCCTTCTGCGATGCACTCTTATGGAAACTAATTTTTCCTCTCCACAGCTGCTTTTATTCCTTTATTATTGGCGGCTCTGGTGTATAGACCTATAGACCTCAGAATAGACCTTCATAATCCCCCATATTCACCGTACACTCCAGGACCCGTTCAATGCACATGACTGAAAGTTATGATGCCCCTCATACCAGAGCAGCGCTGCGTCAACGCCTCTAGTGCTAAAGGTCACGATTGATTGACCTTTAGGTGATCAATTGGACATAAAACATTGGCAATCTTTTTTTTTTTTTTTTTTTTTTCATTTTTGTTAAAACAAAACAAAACTTGATAGCACTTTGCAATAAGGTTCAATTTGTTAACTTTATTTAATGCATTAACTAACATTAACAATGAGCAATACATTTGTTATAGTATTTATTCATTTTTGTTCACGTTAGTTAATAAAATACAACTGCTCATTGTCAGTTCATGTTAGCTCAGGTCCATTAAATAACATTAATAGAAACAACTTTTGATTTTAAATAATGTATTAGTAAATGTTGGAATCAACATAAATGCTTTAGAATATTTTTCATTTTTAGTTTATGTTACCTAATGTGGTTAACTAATGTTAACAAATGGAACATCGTTGTAAATTGTTTCCAAAAACTACTAAAACAGGATTACAATATAACATATTGGAATATAAAAATATGTTAATAAAAATAAAATATTTATTATTTTTCACACACACAAAAAAAGAACATCTTAACAGTGCAAAATATAATGCAATTATTTATTTGAAGCACTAATTAATTCATACTTCATTAATTCATAGCCAGGAAGTGAGGACCAGACAATTATTTATTTTCATTTTAATTAATGAAAATGTGTTATCTGCTTCTGTATTAATTTCATAATCAATATTATTTATCTGTCCCTTTTAATTTTAATGTTTTTAGTGAACAGCTACTGTAAATGGTTTGTTAGGAAGACAAACCAATTATTAACTGCATAATTGTTTATTTGCATGTGCAACAGTTATTTTTCCCCATATGGCTGCCACTCCTCTGACAAGAAATGGAACCAAATGTTGTTGTTGTAGTTTTTTTTTGTTTTTGTTTTTGTAAATCTTGCTAAAACTTGCTGGCTGTGCATGTTGATTTCTCCCTGAAATGAAGCATGACTTTTATGCGTTTTTCAACACAACCAATCCCACAAATAGAAGGAGTATAAAAGCTGTACAGAACGTTGAAAATGTAAAAAATAAATAAATAAATAAACATATGACACATATGAATGCTTAGACTACTTGGACCATTACCACTTGCACATTTTTTCACATATCCTTAAAACAAAAACATGTTAAAGTGCCAATAGTCAGTTTCAGAGGGATTTACACAACAGATGTACTGACATGCCGCATGGTTTTGAATTGATTTTCTACCTCCTGAATAGGTACATGACCAAATGGTGCTAACAACATCTCAACAGCTGCTTGGCAGAGCTGCAAAATGTCACTTGTAAGCATTCAATCGACAGCATGTTTAAATGCTCAAAAGCTACCTAAAACTCAAATTTGCCATTAAGAACATAAGAGGGAGGAAATTTTGAGCTCTGAAAGTTTGTGTTCATAGTACATTAAGCCTTTTATCTGAAAAAAAAGTCATTTGATTTCTCTTTAAATTATTCACTGTCATTATTAGGGGTTATCACATATCACATAAATAAGGTCAAAATCTCATATCATATCCAGTTGTGTTCCATGTATATTGGAAGTTATTTTTGGTCAAATAAACACCTTTTACACAAAACTGTTTAAACAATACGGTACATTTTACTGAGTGGCTGTCTCATAACCGATTTCACAACCCAAATTTCTGTTCAATTACATGACTCACAATTACAGGTAGACAACTCTCTTTCTTCAACGTGGCACTTCATTGCAAACAATATAACGCATGATGTTGGACTCAGCTGGGAAGTCAGTGGACGAAGATCCAAACACTGAAACCCAAGCTGACCAGAGGCCTTCTTTGACTCTTTGGGTTAACCATGCTTGTCCACCACATGAACAATTAGTTATAACCACACTGACAGTAAATGTCAGCGCAACTATTTTGCAAACGCTCTTCAAAACTGCTAGATTCGAAATGAAATGCTTTTGAATCAAAATGCTTTAGAAATGCTGAAATATTAGACAGCGCAACAATGGTACAACTACATAACACAATAGGGATTTTTTTCTTTACACGCAGGGGAATTGTTTAGCATGTACAGGCAAAATATGCAGGTTAACATAAACACTGAACAGCTGCTGAACAGGACTAACCTTTGGAGTGGAAATCTGCTGCTAGTGGGCTAACAGGAGGCTTCTTCACGGCAGCAGAACGGTACACAATGTGAGAACGGCCACCGTCCTCTTCCTCCTGCTCAATCACATGATGTCCCGTTTCCACTGGCTCAATGAAAAACTCCTCCTGCTCAGTTCTGATCATACCTGCCTGTGAGAAGAAAAAAAGAGATCAATACAGTGTGCCAAACTTATACAAAGGTTACAATGCCATACCACAGGATAAACAAAGACGTTCTTCAAACTAATAACTGATATACTCCAGACATCTTGTGATAAACTGAGTGACACAGAGAATAAAGGACCCATGCCAGGTGTTTACTGGGTTGAATCCCTTACTGATTACGAGAAGAAGACGTTCCCAGTCCTTCTTTCTGGCCTTGAGAAAGCAACTTAACTCGTCTACACTATTTTATTAATTCCTCGAAAAAAACAGGTCATTGAAAAGTGCAGAGACTGCACAAATGGCATGTGCAAAAAGGAGGCAATAAAGATAATTATAATTCATTAATTTTGTGTTAAATAGGCATTTATACAATCAAAATCCTACATGTGTACAGTTTTCTCGAAATCTGTTCATATCTGAGCTATTGGATAAGCAGAGATCAACCAAATAGTATATCCATCTAAATAACAAAGTTTGGTATGAGGCTTTTGGCAAAAGGCTGAATTTATTCAAACATACAGTACAAACAGCAATATTGTGAAATGTTATTACTATTTAAAATAACTGTTTTCTATTTTAATGCATTTTAAAATGTCATTTATTCCTGTGATGGCAAAGCTGTGTTTTTCAGCAGCCATTACTTCAGTCTTCAGTGTCACATGATCCTTCAGAAATCATTCTGACATGCTGATTTTGTGCTCAAGAAACATTTATTTATTATCAATGTTGAAAACAGCTGTGCTGCATAATATTTTTGTGGAAAACATTATATTTTTAAAGGATTATTTGATGAATAGAAAGTTCTAAAGAACAACATTAATTTAAAATAAAAATCTTTTTAACAATGTAAACCTCTTTACTGTCATTTTAGATCAATTTTATGTCTTTGCTGAATAAGTATTAAAGTCCAGGCAATTCAGATAATTGTTTCTAAACGCATTATAAATGTTAGAAATGTATTGCTGAAAACAAGTTACAAAGACACTGAACTGTGTAGTACTGAATTGTGGAGTTAGACTGTTAAATAGTTTTTCACCATTTATGTGTTCAGGATTTTTTGGACAGGTCTGAAATTATGTCTTGATGACACACCGGAGCCACTGATCATGGCCCCTCCCCTAACGCTATATGAGCTTTGTTCGACTTGTAGCAGCGCTGCGCAGACTGATCATTGTAGGACACTGAAGTACCATGAGAGCTATAGAGAGCAGACAGCTCCTTATGCTTTCGAATTGCTCTCGCTGTACTTTGATGTCATACACCGATCAGTCTGCGCAGCGCCGATTGAAGTCGAACACACCTAATAACTAGTGATTTGGCCGCTCAATCGCGAGTTACTGTCATTGCCATTAGTTACTACAGCCTACAGTTTTCTAGCTATGCCTTCGTCACGTAAATGCATATTACCTGGTTGCGATTATTTATAAAACAGCTCGGTCTCCTTATTTAAATTAAGTTGCAAGAGCAAGGATGGGCAACTGGCGGCCCGTGATGTTTTTTTGTATATTAGACTCGGATGATCAATTTTAAAACATTTGAAAAGATTGCTTTCAGTTAATGATAATACTAACTCCAACCAGGAGGTCCCTAGTTTTCAGCCGCACATCATATTAATTTCAGCGTAGTAAGAAGTGCACTGTGCTATGTGAGCATTCACTAAAATAAATTAAAAATTGACCATGAAAATCGTATTTTCCGGTCAAGTTGGTAAACATGGGGATACCCCTATGTTTGGGTTGTTTGGAAACGTAATCTGTAATGAAAGATTTTAAGATCACACCACAGCTCACAAAGAAGTATGAAAGATACACCAGTGATGCCAGAGTTGCACTTCAATTTCAAAGGTAAAATGCATAGTCAAAAAAACCTTTTTGCCAAATGCATGACAGAAAATGTTTGTACATTTAAAAGAATTAAACAAGAAAAAAAAATGAAGCGTGGCTAAAAGGAAACCAATTAAATCATTAGGTCTCTCTATTCTTCTGTGTGTTCAATCTTGATTCTAGATCATTTTACACCACAATTTCCATTTTAGCACATTTTTATTCCTATTACGGGCCCCTGCTCAATGCAGAACCCTCCTCTGGGCAAACTTTAACACATAGCACTGAAATCCTCTTTCTAGCTTTCAGACTCTAAAAGGTTTAGTGTACCCTTAGGCCCCGTTTCACCTGCTGAGACAGACACATTACTCCCTAAGTCAGTCAAATCTCAATTTTATTTCCACACCTGATTTAGGATCAGTTCTTTTAACACCAGCTGCATCTTAAACACATGGACATTTGTAACAGGAGTGGCTCTGAATCAGCTGTGGCACATATGAGACAGAAAGTGGATTTCAGAAGCTCCCCAGAGAGTGATACGCCACAATAATTCTCAGAGGAGACAGATCGTCTGTCTCTTCTTATGGCTGGAGTACCATTGCAGATGTGCATGGTGTGGACCACTGTGTGACTACAGGTAAGTAGCCATGGGTTCGGCTGACGCTTGCAAACACCTGTCATTAAAATATTAGCCCATTAAAGCCCAGATTCTTCCCACAAATGTGCCTTCTTTCATATGAACATACTGTGTAATGCTGCAATTCTTATTATTTTTTTTACATAAATACAAAAACTTTAGGGACCGGTGGGCAAATATCCCAGTTCTCATTTATTGGTCTAGGCTGGAGTTACCCTACTACTCACTTCGATCAGATGCTGCTGTGCGACAATTCTGCCTACCACACAACACAAGTTGTAATCCCTTGATAGCTAATTGGCCAGTGTGCGTAACCCACCCAAGTATCAGTGGCTTAGGATAAGTGCATGTCAGCTCTAGCTTTTACACGGGTCACTGCAAATGATGGTTTCTTGACAAGATTCACACCGAAAGGAGACTGAGGAGGGAGCCATCACCGCCCATGCTGAGCACAGCTGGAGTTTGCTGAGCAAAAATGTGCTAAAAGATCCATATGTCAGCCTGAGTTATGTAAGCCATCTCAGAAGGGCATCTACCCTGGATGACCTTCTCTTCAGTGAGAGGGAGAAAAGGACACAGAAACAGATAGAAAGAGAGAAAGGAAAGAAGAGGAAGGAAAGGTGGAAGGTAGAAGAAAGAAGGCCAGAGGGCAAGATGTATCCTGTCAGGAGGGTGAAAGTGTATCACCTGATGCTAGTGACATGAGAGTGAAAGATAAAAACATCAAGTGGAGGTGCTAACACGCAGTGTCAGGTAATCTTTCTCTCTCTCGCTCGCTCTTGCGCTCTCTAGGTCCTTGCTCTAAAACAAGCGTTCGGAAAATTGCCTTCACTCTCCTTAATTCCATCTGTCTGTTTAGACAACTGGTAATTACCAGTCTTGCTGACTGCATCTATGCAGCATCCATAAGGGAAATCTTACATCACACACACACACAAGCATAAATTCATGCCCCAGGCATGCTCCACATGCACACTGTCATTGTCTGTCCTCTCACGTTGACGTCTTAGACAGAAATGGCTGAATGAGCATGCACTGAGAATAACATGATCATTTTAGTAACTTATGTGGCTCCTGCATAAAATTAGACGTGATAAGCATGTGTATTATACACACACACACACACATAAAGACACTACTTGTCAAAAGTTTGGAATCATTAAGATTGCATTTATTTGATCAAAAATACAGTAAAAACAGTAGTATTGTGAAATAGTTTTATAATTTAAAATAAATGTTTTCTATTCTAATATATTTTATCATTTAATTTATTCCTTTAATGGCAAAACTGAGTTTTCAGCAGCCATTACTCCAGTCTTCAGTGTCACATGATCCTTCAGAAATCATTCTAACATGCTGATTTGATGTTCAAGAAACCTTTCTTAAACTATCAATTTTTGTGTAATGTTTTGTGAAAACAGTGATACATATTGATCAGAAAGTGACAGTAAAGACACGTATAAGGTTACAAAACATTTCTATTTGAAATAAATGCTGTTCTTTTGAACTTTCATGAAAGAATTCTGGAAAGAAAATGTATCACAGATTTAAAAAAAATAATAATAATAAGCAGCAAAAACTTTTCATTAATAATACTAACATTGACACAATAATAAAACATTGTAATAAAATAACAAAACATTGATAATAATAAAAAACATTATTATTATAGTAATTGAGCACCAAATGGTAAGCATAAGAGATTTATTTCAAAAACATTAAAAAAATCTTAATTACTCCAAATATACAGTATATAATGGAATATTTTAATAATCTGATTTGGTTTTATTACAATTGCTGTATAATATTCAATTAATAATTAATATTAATAATCCAATTAATTATTTTGTCTTTATAATATCATGCTTAATATTCTCACATTGTATGAATTGGTATTTATGCATAAAAATATACAGCTATTGCCTTTATATTTTAGGAGAGGGTCCCTAAACTGAACCATATTTTATGTCCAAAAAAAAAAGTTTGGCTACACAACACTAACAACAACCAAAAAATAGTCCATTTTAAATAACATTCTCTGGCCATATTTAATACATATTAAACTTGAAAATAATGTGCCTGAAAAAAAATTAGGAATTAAACATGGCTAGGGCAACATATGCAAACAATTATGGTCCAGCGCTGTCAGTGCTGTGAGTTATGACTGAGGCTTCTGTGCCAGGTATAATGAAGGCCTACGGATGGACTGACTGTGATTTACTACACTTATGTTACAAATCAAGTTTTCATCTGCTCATTTAGAAACACACGTGATGCAGCTCACAGAACCTGTCAAAGTTCAGAGAGACAAACTGGCTATCAAAAAAGAGTTCAAAAGTGATGCCAGTTTTGTAAAACAGAGTCTGTAATTCAGCTGCATTTCTGAGAAACTCTTGAGAGAAGGCGTACTGTCTCTATTTGTGTGTCTCTCTCAGTTCCTCCCTTCATCTCTAGGCCTTGCTGATGGACCTATACTGTGGCTCCTGCTCTGGAATACCAAACAGAAGAAGTGCGGCGCACACTGT